ACCACAACCCTGCCAGCTCGTGCTTCCGAGCCCCACCCCACCCTGAACACCCGCGACTCCCAGCCGCACCCCACCACAACCCTGCCGGCCCGCACCACCCATCCCAACCCACACTGAACACCCACACCCACCCCACCCCCACCCCTCACCTTCCTCAGCGCCGAGGCGTCCAGGATGTCGTTGATGAGGTTGAGCAGGCGGGCGCCACTGTTGCGGATCGTGGTCAGCGTCTTGGCGGTGTCAGGGGTCTGGGTGTCTGCGCGGGCGCGGGGCGTCGGGGACGTGACGGTGGATAGGGTTGAGGCCAGGGTGCAGGCTTCAAAGGCGGGGGAAGGACCTCCACACGCCCAGCTTCCCCATGCAACCGCCTAGCTCTGAACCATTGCTGATCTGCCGGACGGGTGGAGCAGTGGCCCCCCGGGCGGGGTGGGCTGCCAGGCTAGCGGGCAACACGCGGGGCGGGCAGGGAGTGAACCCTAAGAGAGGTAAAAGGTAAGGCGGAGCAGGCGTAGGTGAGGCTAAGTGAGCCTCACCCGCGTCCATGAGCAGCACATTAGACAACCCGATGATGCCGTTGAGAGGGGTGCGCAGCTCGTGGCTCATCAGCGCGATGAACTGCTCTTTCTGCTCCACCAGCTGGCGCAGCTCGTGGATGACGCGGATCCTGCGGCACCGCAGCGTGGGGGTGGGTGGCACGTGGTACCGCAGCGTGGGCGCGCAACGCGCAGCCAGCGGTGCGCCAGCGGGGGCATGGGAGGTGCATGGGAGGTGCAGGGGAGGCAGCGGCACAGGGGCAAACTCAATCACAGTCCCGGCGGTGCCGCCGCGAGGCGCGGCGCGAGTCCCAGACAGCGCCACGCCGTGTCCCAGCGCCGTGTCCCAGCGGGCCCCGTCCGCCGCCCCCTAAAGTCCGCCACCCCAGCAGCCGCACCTGTTGGCCTCCTCCACCACGCGCATGGCCATCATGCGGCGGTGCTCAATAGACATGAAGTTGGAGTGGAGGAGGGTGGAGGAGAAGAAGATCTTGCCGGCGGCGTCGGCGCCGCACC